TGTTGACGGTTATGGCCGACTGCTTACTGATTATTGAAACCTGAACCGGAAAAACAGCTTCCAACATCCTTTTAAAATACAATAAAAACATTTTATGAGATGAGGAATGGTAAAAATCTTAATGAATCTCACACTGATTGGGTGGAGGGAAATCTCTTGTAATATTGATAAGGAATGGCGCTTCACTCAAATTTCTAGGCCTACTGACGACTATAAAACAGCATCCATTCGCAGAAAAGCTTTTACTAATAAATTGACAACTGTGTAGACATGTAGTGTTTTATATCAAATGGAGCCCCGTGAATGTTTAGTATTTTAAACACACCTTGTTTCTATCTGATATATTTCTTGTATACTGTATGGTCAATACTAACATACATCATTTTGCCGATTTCAACTATGACCGATAATAAGATAAAATACATGCCAGACACTCTTAACATAGATGAACAACGATACTGTCATTTTCTCACTAAATTATCGTTTTTAAAGATATAGATATTTATTCATCATCACCTATTTTGTTTTTACATCTCTTGCTCAATCTGTAAAAGATGAAATCAAATGTATCACGTCGCTCACAAGGACGATAAACAGGGACCAATGTACTCATTAAAGTACACACGAACGTGGAAGACGAAAAACATGGACAACTCCATAGTCTCTGTGTTTGCAAATTGCATGGCATTATCCCTCATCATAAGCCTATCTAATTCAGAAATGTAAAATTAAAGTTTAGATTTTCAAAGGTCGATTTCAGGCAACATGAATTATTGCAAGACGTGACTTTACTGCTTTGTAACTGAACAAAGTAATTTTTGAAGAATATTGGCAGTTAATGTTACAGAGACAGCTAAATTCATCCATATTTCTGTGCGAGATCCAGGGTTTATATATGTGAATGCAAAAACTTCTCTAAGATCCCAAAGAAATTCTGCAGACCATGTCTAGACATTTTATGTTATCTTTAATAGGTAGTTTATCATGTTATAGTATAGGATCACGGTGTTTTAGTACCATTCATGTTTTATCTACCATTGAAACTAAGTACCTGATGACGATGAGTACTGACCAGTATTGATAGTGTAGCTGTGGTTTAAGGTTTCATAAGAGTCTTCTTACAAATCATATTGGAAGATGAATCGTTGGACGAGACTTTTGATTAAAGGAATTGTTTTAGTTTTTCTGATAGAAAATACCATAATTCCTACTTTTGAGTTCACACAGAATCTTAGATCGGAAAACTTGGTAAAATGTAATGCTCTGAAGCAAAGTAATCAGGGTTTATGCATCAAGGGACACATATGACGATCCCTTAACCCGAAGTTCCTTAAATGGTAAATGATTGAAAGAAATGGAGGTTTTTAACATATGAATACGACGTGTTTCTTGTAGAAATCATTTCATATTTTAGATAGGACTAAAAATAAAAAAAAATTAAGGCATTATATTTTGATTCCCTATTGTTGTTAATGTTATTCAATAATTCGATCGATAATAACGACATTTCTGCCAACGTCTGTTTCTGTTAATGGTTTACCTTGAATTTGCATGATACCTTTTTTTGCATGATACCTTTTTCTAAGTCGATTTATTTACCTGATTGGTGTGTGTGTGTATGTGTGTGATTTTGGCCTGCAATTTTGTACTAGGTAATGAAATAATGAGATAAAATAACTAACTGAAAATTAACATTACTTTGAACCTGATATTTTCGAATTTACATAATGCTATAAAACTATTCAAAACACACGTTCGAACAAATGGTTGAAAGAGAGCTGAAGGTTACTTGATTTTAGATCCCTATGCTGAGTTCACGTAATGGACAACCTTGATTACCCGATAGAGAGCGTTGCTTTAAGTAATACTAATAATTTTGCTAGGTTCTGATATATGTGTACAAAACTTGCTCAATCAATAATATGTTTAGTATTTCAAATGATATTTAATGATACATATATTGAGAAAACAACATTCGATATAATAACTAATACGTTCGTATATCGGATGTCCCCCAAAAAACGTCCCAAAGTTCGACTGGTAGCATCTCAGCTGTTGGTAGACTGATAACTTTCAAAATTCTCAGAGATATATTTCAAAATGTCGTTGTCCAACACTGAAAATATGAAAGTCATCCAATAAAAAATGTTTAAGTACTGCCCCGAACAAAACAAGCAATTGTGCGACATCTTGAAGTCTATCTGTGAGAATTTTGACTACCAATAGCTGAGATACTACCTGTTGAACTTTGGGACACCCTGTATACCGAAAATATTGACAGAGGTATTATGCCTACAGAAGTACATGTATATACATAGGTATGAAGTTGAAATGATAATTAAGAAATGTAAATTACTTGAGGATTTTACATACCAATCACTCAGCATTTGAAATGAACAAATGACTGTATGTAGTTCCTTTGAAATTCTATTTCTTTTTTCACATAATTTTTACCTTGAAGTTCGGTCTTGAGTTTTAGATTGTACGTTGCACAGACACTTTGCAAGTTTTGTAAAATAACTTGAAATGACTAGAATTAAAATAGAATTTTAAAAAGATGCATAAATCTGTATTTCCAAAGGAATTCAGTCGAATTACATTTTGTATAAGAAAATAAAGACAAGTATTCTAAGCGCTAATTTAATTTCTTGAATTCCGGATTTAATGATTATGTGCTTTATGAAACGATGTGAAAACAGTGTGAAGAATAACGCTGGATTAAAAACCATGTTTAAGATGTTGATATCTATAATATAGAATGATCATTTAGATAGTCCGATCAGTAGGTGATCAATACGTATGGTCACAAATTTTAATATTTCATTGTCTTATTCACAAGGTGTCTGCTGTTTTCTACCATTTACAATACTATCTTTTCAAATCATTGGTATTTACTGTTCTTTTACAACTTTCTAATTGCTGGTGCATTCAATTGACATGACACCAAAATTATTTTATTGCCAGGAGAATGAGAGGGGCGATAACTGTGTACATCACCAGGGGCTGTAAAACGATCTCGGAATGTATTTTTAAAAAGATCTCTTAACAAAAGATAAAGTGGTAATTACGGTGTCAAGTTGACCATTGCCTCAAGTGGTCACTACCGTCCAGATAAGTGTTTAGTAAATATCTACTTCACACATTGCTGATCTTTCAAACAGTTCATGTTTGTCAATAGATAGGTGATATAGGTACACAAAACGCCCTTCTCATAATCAGATCAATAAACCGATTACCATTTTCAATGTTAAAAAGAAATAAAATTAAACTATATCCGCCTCTGTATTCATCTTATAAACAGTGAAATTTTTACAGCTCAATTTCTTTTCTGACTCTCATTGAATAAAAACCCATTAACCCCACCCCCATTATACTTTCACCTCGTCTACTTCTAATTATTGTTGTCCAAATCATGTGTAGCATAATAGAATCTCATTTGAATTAAAATACTAAAATCTGACATATTTTTTAAATTGATGGTATTTTTCTCTGTTTTGAATCTACAGAAATGATGAATTGTGTTAAATATTTTAAAAGTTATACGATAGAAAGATAGAAATAATTATTACTACTATTAGAACACTGAATTGACTTCATCGATCAGTTCTCTAAAGATTTTTTTCCCTTTTCAACCAAACTAAAGAAAAATAATTTTCTTTCAGCAAACGATTGATTTTAGTTGCATAATTCAAACTTTTAAACAAGAACACTATTAACGAATACATCACATTTATTCAAACACATCAATAATATCATTGTAAGTCAATATAACTTAAAGAGACTAAAACATACAAAAACAATTCTTTAAAAATATTTGTCAACAAATTAACATAATATGTTGTCGTTATATATTTACTAGAGATCGTAGACACAGTTTCCACATTAACTGTATATTATTTACTTGTTTAAATATACATACTGATATTAACAAATGAAAATTCTATTTTCTTCCTCTTTTCAAGTCTTGTAAATTTCACGAGATTTTCTTCATAATTTTATAAATTTAATTTCATTTAACCAAATTCTACTTTTTGTCAGAAACTATTAACTCTTTGATTTGGAGAAAATTACAAGAAAAACCTTCACAGTGAATTTGAATTATAACTGATGCCGACTCTTAAGTGTTTTTATTTAACGTTACTATGGTAATATAAAAACAGGAATAAGTTATAACATGCACATTTTAACACATTGGATAACGATTCATGATTCTGATATTTAAATTCGACGTGAGTAAATGTATATTGAAATTTACATTTACTAATCTTTACTTTACTCAAGTATAAATATGTAGAGACACGTTTAAGTTTCGAGCTGTGAATAAAGTCTCCACATATTTGTAAGCAAATTAAAGCAAATACCAATTTTCAAATAAATAATTCTAAAAATACTAAAATAACTCTGAGGTACAATAACATGTTTACAAAATAAATTTATCAGCTGGATACATTTTCGTTTGTTCTTGAAAATCAAGAATCCCAAAATGAGGTATTTTATTTCTGTTAATTTTTGGTTTAGTCATAAAGTGTTTTCTGGATATTATGCCGGTGTAAGTTTTCAAAGACATGCCTTTGAATGAATTAAATAACTAATTTGCATGCAAATAAAAAATAAAACACTCTGCATCACTATTTACCCTGTTAAAGAGTTCAGTCACTACACATAACATTTATTAGTTTTTATTTCACTTGAAACTAATTTTCACCATTCCTCCTTCCCATCCTGAACTGAAATCCTTTTACTGTACATTGGTCTCCTTTTCCAAAAGATGACTATCAAAAGTTTTCAGTCCGCCATTTTGGTTTTTTTCTGCACTAAACATGCATGGAAATCACAATAATGAGCATTGTCAAGTTTGAAAGTTACCCTGAGGTTGACGTCACTCGTTGAAGAAAGGGCATGTACCCTCATAAATTCCTACACTATCCCGAGGGATCTTGAGGTGAAGGGGTATCCATTGTTAACGAAGAACTGCCAATATCTCGAGGGGACAAATCGCAGTCTTTTAAACTCTTGTCAGGGCCGGTTAGCTTAGAAACATTATTTTCCTTTTTCCATTTCATTCTCCGATTTTGAAACCAAATTTTTATTTGTCGTTCTGTTAAACCAAGCATATGAGCCACTTCAATTCTTCGTCTTCTAGTAAGATAACGGTTAAAATGAAACTCTTTTTCTAATTCTAATGTTTGGTATCTGGTGTATGTTTGCCTCGTCCTTTTTTGCTCAAAGTGGACATCAGCTGAAAATAGAACATTATAGAATTCATGAAAAATGAGACGTCTTTTAAATACATATCCTAAATATTTCGTTTAAAGATATTGACACGTTAATGAGAAAAAAATATCAATAAATATTCTATAAAAAAAATATTTCGTATTTTGTCAACCTAATCAACTTCAAATTATTATAATCATATAATCCGAGGCTGGTTTTTTACAGAGCAAAATAAATTACTTTCAACATACTAAAATGGCTTTTTTTCTACATTTTCTTTTGAGCGATTTTTTGAAAGAATGATATTCTACAAAATTTCAAATCATTAACAAATAATGCTTTTTCATTCAGAACTTTTTAACAACCTTTTTTATGAATTTAAATATGTATACTTTAATTGTGCATAAATGTCTTGTAAAATTAAATTTTCCACAAATAAGTCGCGCGCTTATTTAAAATAAAGTTGAGATTTTTTACACAATTTTTCTATTCTACTGGTTTTCATTTTTTATTGAAAATCACATAAAAAATGAACGTGATTAACTAATTTCATACGTTTTGTAAAATTATGCTATTTTTCTTTTCTCATTTTGTTAAATTGATTTTTCTGGTATGTTTTTTTTTAATAAACCAGTATTGCTACTTATTGTTCAAGTGAAAACGGTAGTTCTGATATAGTAAAAATGATTTTGCTGCTAATTATAGCAAGAAATATACCAACTTATTTTGTTTTAATTTTCTTATGCAAATTTTCGAGGTAATTTTTGTTATTTATTGTGTTTCGAGTAACTCTCAAAAACATTATTATCCCTAACATACATTTTTCACTTAAGTTTCTTCACCTTAAATAACTCATAGAACATTTTCTCTCACTTCATTAAGTTTAAAAGTGGGGTTAATTTCCGACTTTTGCGATTCAAATTTGTGCCAAAAATAAATTGGAAAATAACGAAGTATTTTCCTTCAGTACTTTAATTGAAGCGCATGGAAATGATAAAAGAACAAACCACTTGAAATAAATAGAATAGGCATTTGAAAAACGGTTCACATATTTCCAATATATTTTCAAGTAAAACCGATTAAAATGCTATAATATGAGATCAATTGTTATAAAACCTAACAAACCATGATCGTTCAAAACATAACATTCTTCACAAATATTAGTCTACTAATATATTTTAATGTTATTTTAATGTTAGAAATTCGGTCGCTCGGTTTCATTTGAACAATATGAAAATTTGATTCGAGTCATTGCCTCTACTGCTCTTTACTAAACTCAATCCGATACCCTGTCTCGCTGTCTAACCCTCCGGCACCAAGAATTAGCGGGGTGTCGGGCTTTTAAATTTTACGACTTGATAGCAAAGAAATTATACAAGAAGCATTGAGAAATATTGAAATACAGCTTAATGATCATCATAAAACTTTCCAAACCAACAAAAGGTGGACATCTTGGATACAAAGGGCAGATAAGTAACATGTGTGATTTATATTCACAAGTATTGCGCCATTATATCACGGCATGTCATTTCTCTCATGACATTTCTATGACAGTTTTAAGGAAAGTAATTGTTGAAGTATCTTTCAGTGTATTATGTTATAAAATTAGCCATACTTATTTTTTCTGAAATTTAAAACTTATGTCCACATTGGCTCTTCCGATTTTTTGGCTTTTTTCAGATGCTTTACATATACATTTTAGGCACCAAAAACAATGTACATATCTAAAACTCTTACTATAAACGTAAAGTGAATTTCTAAAATGAAATCTAAGCATTGGGTTTTACTACAATAAATCACCTTCTTTCTGCGTTCTGAAAATTTTCATAAGCTCAAAAGCAATCCGACCAGCGTTTTCCCATTGGTAGTTATATGAAATGGATACACTACTTTAATGCGATAATCCTGATTAATGTTTCGATTTATTACAATGAAAAAAATAATCATTTATATTTTATATATATTTTATGTTGTTCATATCATAATTCTTAATCCGACATTGATATTCAAACTTCCAACATCATAAACGTATCATTCTTACTCGACTGTCATACAGCTTTCACTTTTTTGACATATCAAACTAGGGCGAGGTCGACAATTGTATTAACGTCAATCTTCAGTAAAATAATTTTTGATTTCTAGGAAATAGACTCTTAAGAAGTGCACAAACTCACACTAGCAAGACCCAGTAATGGCTTATTGCTTGTATTTAGCTTCAATGTAAAATATACAACTAAAGTGCCAATATTTTAGTCAATATGATGGCTACTAATGATTTAAAGTTTTCGATGTTTCTTGTATGTAAATACTTTATTGTTTAATGTATTTAATGAATAATTCTAAATGTAACTTTAAGCAGGAGTTGATCTTTGCACAGACTAACGATTAAGGAAAATCATCAACGTGTACATAACCATACCATGTACGTTTGAGTTGAGGACAGCCTAACAGGAAAACCAAAATATCCCTGGAGCATTTTTCAAGTCATATTTCTGTTTATGAAGTTTAAGAGAACAGCAGCGATTGACAAGTTAATACTTTTATTACAAGCTTAAAACTGTGAGGTCAAGATTACCTCTAGGCAAAAGACCAAAAGATCAACGTGCTGGAAGGCATTTGATCTTTCTTACTTAACTTGTAATATTATCAACTTGTTTTACAGTTCTAATAATCAGCTATCTATTGTTTTAATGTTATCATGATGGTAGATAGAATACAATAATACACTTGTTGATACTGATACCGTATTGTGCTACATTTGTGCTTATTTGTCACGCACTAAAATTCCCAACGTTGCGTTCTTAATCGTTTAGCCGCGCTGTCGATTTTAAAAGAATACTTCGAACTTACGTAGACAAGATCTCCCCCCTCACACACACACACTCAAAAGGAAAAGCATTATATTATTAATTATGTTGTTTTTCAACTAAAGATTGTTACGTCCTTAATTATAATATCAAATTGAACTACACGAGAGGCTGCTCATTAATATGATATACAGGAGACCTTGAATTAACAATATCAGACTTGAGGCAAATATGGAAGGATAGAATTGTATTGTGGAATGAAGACACATTCTACGTCAACCAATGTCGTCAGCATGTAGGAAGTGTAAGCATGATGAAAGCTGAAAACCTGTCACAATTTATGACACATTTTAACTATTTTACATGAAATAATTTTTTCAAGTATTGGATATGAATTACATTAACATATCTATAACTATTGTGTGAAATTTCCAAAAAATACTGAAACCGTCAGTAACTGCAGTGTTTGGTGTAGATATATTTTAATGACATACAATTTCAATGGGAAGCGTGAAAGGAAATTATATTTTAGAGCAACATTACACTACTGTATCTGGGATCTAGTCGAATCAAAAAGCATGCCACGAATTTGACCCACTTTTAAGACTCACAACCTATATCCATCTTTTAACTTCCGGTTAACATTTTCCAAACTTTAACTACTTATAACTTTACAAAGTGAAATGAAACGATTTAAAGTAAAACAATTTGTAGAATTGGATTGAATTGGAGATCAATTTGTGTACTTACATTTACTATAATGGCTTTTTCATGTTTGAAAATAGTAGAATAAAGTATAGAAAATATTGACGCCAGTGTTTGTTCTGTAATGATAATGTAACGATTGAACTACCAGATAAAATTATTATATAAATGGAAGCGTTCTTCATTTGTATGGAGTAAATTCAGAAATCGGCCTTACAGTCGTAACTATGTGTAATGATAGATCAATTGGTATATGGATAGGATGGGATGGTACTATTGTTATACCACGTAGAACTAATCACAATGGCACCACAGATTATTCTAATCAGCAATTTTGATCAAATTTGTTGAAGAATTGGTTTCACCTTCATCAAAATCTAATGCATTTACATTGAACCTTTTCTCATTATACAAACCACGTAAAATAGTGATGATTGATATTGATTAAAACGTGACTAAGGTTTATTAGAAGATGAATACATAACAATGAAAAGTAACGATTTCATTGGTAGTAAACTGATCTATAAAAATACCATTAAATCAAATGTTCATTGAATAATAAGGGTCATAATAAGTAACCCTGACTAAATCTGAGAGCTAAATATTGCCTCATCTACACACTGTCCATCGTATTTTATATGGCGAACGATAGTAAAATATCACTATTCATTAATTGAAGAGTAATAAACGCCCCGTTAAGATGGCGATTTATTAGTCTTTTGTGAGAGAGGATCAAACGCCTAGACGAACACTATTTACAAGTTATTATGAGACAGTAATGAAATATATCACTTAAGACATTTGACTTCTTTCTGGGCTATTTTTTTAAATTTTTTATTGATCAGATTTTGTTATTTTTACTGTATTATTGTTTGATAATATTGAGATATGTATTTCTCTTCATTTTATTTTCACAAATCGAACATAATTATCAATGTATTATTGTTGTATTTTAGAGAGCTCGTATTTATCATATGCCTAATTAAATTTAATGATTTACCAAGTCATTAATTATTCAACGATTATTCAGCTGATCAGAAAATTGTATTGTTTTTAAAAATTCTCATCGTTAAAAAGTGTTGAAACCAACACATCGTTCGATATACATTAATAAGATAAAACCCCACTATATTTCTTGATAAAGTTTTAACGCAGTACTAATAAGACTACTAATTTTTATCAATTTTTTCATGTTTTCTGATTAAATTTTGTGTATGTTACTTACAACTATTTCCTGTGAATATATTAACACTATCTAAGAGACCGGTCTGATGATAATTTATAGAACTCCACCTCAAAAAGTATTTATGCTGTGGCTTTAAAGGGGTTGCATATGGTTTTTCGAAATATTCATTCCCATTTATATCAACTTCTACTGAATAAATGACTTCAAGTTGATGAAGATCCTAGGAATTTTTTTTATACTCTGAATTTATTATTAGAGTATAATTCCTTATTTTTGAATTATGTGCTTTTTGACAAAAAAAAAATAAGAATTTTAAGTAGGAAAAGAATACTAAACCTTG